GGGGGTCCCGTCTCCTGCGACTGGGAGGTGGTTGCTGCGTGCCTCCATCAGAAGAGAAGCTCCTGCCCTTCGTGAGATGGCCGTGAGCTCCTCCGGGGAGCTGGGACGCCTGCGCTCGATGCAGACCTGCCCGCGCCCCTGCCCTGAGGCTGCACCCTGCCTGCGGCAGGCAGCGATCAGGCCCTCCTGCTTACCGGCAGGAGAAGCTGGGCTGGGACCAGGGAACTCCTCCACAGGACATGGAACAGGATGGTCATCCCAGGTAGGTGGAGGGGCCAGCGGGGGACTGGGCATCCTGGACACCTCAAGTCCCTGGCAGGACTGCAGAGCACAGAGGTGACCTAGAGCAGGGATTTGCTGCCCGAGCTGTGCGCTGGTGCCTGGAGCCCCACGGTTCCCTCTAGTTCTGGGTATCGTGTGGCCTGACAAAGCTTGCGTGTGCTGTAGCTGCTGCGTGCTTGTGGGGAGCCAGAGCAATGCGGCCCACGCCGTGACGGCAGCGGGGCGAGGGGCTGGTTCTGGGGGCTCGGAGAGAGAAAGGGGTCGTGCCACCCTCTGTGCGTAGAGCTGGGGTGGTGCCCGCAGCACGCTGCCCAGGGCCCCAGCTCGCGGCCCTTGGTGGCCCCGGTGTCATGTGTCCAGAGCCACCTGTGCTCAAACTAAGGAAGACGTGGCAGGCAGCGGTACAGACGCTGAAGTGCTTGAGCATCTGTTTGGCTCTGGGAGATTGGGGTGAGGAAGTAAGCCATCTTCTCGGCAAGGAAAATGAAACTGCACGTGAGTCAGAGCGGGGCAGGGGGTGCTGGAGCTGCTAGGAGTGGGTGCGAGGGCGTGGGGAGAGCCCCTTTTCTGCAGCGCTCCCAGGCACGCGTTCATTCATGCGTTCCCGGGCTGCTGCTCGTTGGTGCACGCTCCGCTGCCTGCCACGGCCCCATGATTGCTGCGCGTGTGCAGCAGGATGCTCTGCTAAAACGCCCCAGCTCTGTCTCCCAGGAGACTGCCTCACCCCGTAGCAGCCTGCTGTTGTGGGGTGTCTTTGCGTCCCCTTCTTTGGGGTTGCCTTCAGCAGGGACCAGGGCTTTCTCTGGGTTGTCTGCTCCAGCCTTGTTTGCAGAGCAGAGCCTGGGGCTGGGGTCGCTCGGGCGTGCACTGCAGAGGGTGGTGACCTGGCCTTGCCTGGGTGCCACCTCCCCGCTGCCTGCAGCAGCCGCCTCAGAGCTCCCCTCGGCCCTGGGTCCCCCTTCCCGGGGGAAGCAGAGCCCGTCTGCCTCGCTCTGTAGCGGTGGGCTGGGGCCGAGCAGAGCTCCACAGGGGAGCCTGAGGGCTGCGGTGGCTGGGGGCAGCCCTGGCGGCGTGAGCGCATAGCGGGGAAGCCCGCTCTGGGCCAAGGCATGTGACGGCCGTGCAAACCTCGGGGAGACGGGGAGGATTTCACTGAGTGGAAAGCCCAGCTT